TACACGATTCCCTAAACATTGACGCGCGTGCAAACGTGTGTGGAAGCAGGCGGCAAGTGTGTGCAGCCGAGTGTGTGCGCTACCTTCGCCCCACACCTCGTGCATAAACCCTTGAGGTGGGATCTTGGATGATACTGCTCGCACGTAACCCGACGGCTGGGCGAAAGTTCCGAGGAAAAATGGAGCCAAAGATTGCTCCTGACCATTGGGTCACTGACTGTTGGCTAGCTAATCATGTCTTGTGCCTAACTAACTAATTTTGCTGACTCATCAAGTCCATGTAAGTTAGATATTCACTAGCTCGTTGTTGGACTGCAATGCTTCGATGCCGGCCTAGTCGGCATACCAGGGTTCGTATCCTGCTCTGTTGATAATCAACCAACTTGTTTTCATGAGTTCGTGGACGATCCATGGACTCACTTGAACCGATAGATTCACTGTCATTCATCATGCCGCAGCGTAAACTTTCCAGGCAGAACTCAAGCCAACTCGAAGCCGACACGCCGCAGACTCCCCAGACCCCGACTTCCTAGCCATCACAGCTCGAAACTTAGCCAACCTCTACCCCAATATTTGGAAATCACTGACCCCTCTCCTCAAAGGAAACCCACAGATCCACCAACGTCTTCAAAATTATACCCCACAACCAGACAAGTGCGATACTGCCTCCTCCTCTGTATCCTTGCTTCTGCTATCTCCGCCCGTCCTCTATATCCACATCGTATCCTTGCTTCTGCTATCTCCGCCCGTCCTCTATATCCACATCGTATAATGTAGATTTTACTTGATGGGCGAATGTGCTAGCTGCTGTGTGGAGCCGTTGTTGTCTGTGGGGCCGTTGGGCAAACGAAACGGATGAAGAAAGCAAGATCTCCCTAGGATCCGGAACCTTCTAGGATCCAAAACCCTACCAGACCTGGGGGCATAAAAGGGGCGCGCCAGGAACCCAGTTGCTGACCTAACGAACTCTCCTCCATTTGTATTTCACCACACCCGACACAATAATTTCGGTAACGACCCTGAAGAGATACCCCCCAAGTTAAAGATCTTCCCGCAAGGAAAATGAAATCCACCTACAGACAACGGCTTCCAGGCTTGACAAAAGTTGAAGAACTTCCAGTTCCTCCAACCTTGCCGCACGGACTTCACGACCCAGGGCCCCACGACGTAAGACTGTCCGCATCCTTTCTCGGGCTCGAGAAATGTGCACGACGTCAAATGGCGCTGAAGGGATCAAGTCCTCTGGGTCTAAAGGCCGTGCGGTGAAACGCGCCCACTGGGTTGGGACACTCGGCGAAGGCGGCACAAGAAGCGGTTCGTCAATTGCTGCAGCCACGTCGCTTACCAGCGTGATTGCGTTACAACTCGCCTTCCACGAGTACTCATATGCCTCTTCAGTTGCCACCCGGGCTGCTGTCTCCCGTACAGACCTATCGTACAGCCGGTTGAAGGTTTCTTCCGAGGCTGAAAAACGGAACCGCTCCTCCCGACGTAGACTGCAGATAACATCTTCTCGCGTCAGAGGACTTCCCATCTGACGACTGTCGGCAACATGCTGGTCGATGAGCAGGTCTACCAAATGACAGACGAGCTGTTCCTCCACCCTCACCCACCGACGGAAGCTTGGCCGTTGAGCGGACTCGTAGTCTTCACCCACTGGGAAGTGAGCTTCATCTTCCGGAGGCGCTTGCCAAGACAATAATTTTGAGAAATAAGCGGAAACCACACGGTCTCGGCGTTCACGATATACCTGGAGGTAGCGTTCGTAACGGATCCCAGCCACCTCGCGCACAATCCCGTTGGTCCAATTTCTCAGGCGAGTTTCCCGCAACGTCCTCTCTCCGGTTGCGAGCGTGAAAGCGATGGTTTGCAAATCCTCAGCCATCCGCCGAGCCATGACACTTTGCACAAAGGACCCGTCTGCATCCGTCTGATAGTTGCTAAGCGCATACGCTATGTTCTGACTGAGACAGCTTAGCAGTGTTCTGCGGCTTGGGTCTCTTGTAGACGGCCAGCACTCGTTCGTATCTTCGCACGCGTGCACCCAAGCTTGTGCCGGATACCAGCGACTAAGTACGGCGAGATACCGCAATCGTAGCGCCGGTGACATAGCAGCTCTCTTGTCCAAGTAGTAAG